CGCTGGAGAGATATTAAAATTAGTTGAATTTAAAACAGATTACTACAACTTAATTGAAACAAAATTTAACAAAATAGCAGAATCTTTAGGTGAAAGGTTGATTGATGGAGAAAATGTATTACTTGAAAAATATTCCAAAGCAGCATCACAAAAGTTAAAGGGTTGGATAGAAAATATTACAAAGAGTGAGCTAGAAAGGTTTAGACGAAGAGACAAGGAACTAAATAGAGATGAAAATGATAAATTAATTTCACCAGGATTTATCAATTTGTTGCAATTGATAAAGGTTCAGTTAGAACCAATTACTTTCAATAAGAACGTATTTCTTTATATTGCAAAGACTGTGTATGATTATTGTAATGAATTTAAAGAAAATATCTGTGAAGCTATAGAGGCTGATTTTGTTCCAACTTGTAAAAATAAGAGCATGCCTGGATATGAAGATTACTGTATTATGTTTGGCAATTCTGGACTTAAATTAACTCAGTATATTACTAGTTTACCACAATGCCAATCCGATGAGATAAGAGAATTAGGTAATGTATTCATAGGAATTTTAAAGTTTGCAAATCACTTTTTATCTGAATTTGTAATATTTACGTGTAATCCAGCTTTTAAAAAAATTTTTACAAGTTCATGGAATGAAAGTTTTAAAGTTTTTCTAGTTACGATTGATGACTTTTTGACTGATTACTCCGTTGTAATGTCAGATTTTACATTCAATACTTTCTGTAACGAATTATGTTCTTGTATAACTAGCGCTTATTTCAAAAGATTAAATGAAAAGAATGTTGTTATTGATGTTAATTCAGGTGAAAATATCAGAAATGATTATAATAGATTGTTAAAGGTATTTGATAAGTTTTTACCATCAGAAAATCTTGAAGTAGAACTTTCACCACTCATAAAACTTATTCCTTTGTTTACTGTTAACGATCCTGATATGATAAGCTTAGAACTAAAATCACTAATTATGTCAACAGAAAATATTGATATTAAAATGATTGAAAATATAATCACACAAAGATCAAATCTTTATGAAAAGACTAAACTTAAAATGATTGAGAAGTTGAGAGTAATTTATGAACAGACAGCAAACCAAAAGAAAAAACTTTTTAACTAAACTTTCTTTTAATCAAAATAGTTATGCAAAAAAATTTAAATGCTTTTTATGATTTATTTTCTTTATTTTTATGATTAATAATTCTTGCTTTAATATGATCACCCAATTTAGGTTGAGTTAATACAACTGGTTTAAAATCAAAAAGAGCATTCCATTTTTCTGGTGTCATATCAAAATCAACTTTTTTCTTAAAAATTGATTGAAAACCTTGATTACTCCCTGATAGTAAATTTTTAGGTTTTCGGCCTCTTTTTTTTAACTTCTCTTTATGATGCGGGGATTGTTTTATTCTACTTCGATCACTTGATGCTGCAATTTTTTCTTTATTTTTTTGATCTCTTATCATGATATCCATTTGGGTTAGACAATTTGTTTTTTTAGTCGCATGCATT